GTAAATAGGGCGCTCGTGCACGCTCATTCACAATTAGCATAATCCCCACCTAAGAATTACAGCTATGCAAATTGCGTGTCCACAAACGCAGTGGAATATTCTGGTCTACTTTCTCAGGTTTGGCTCCAGTATATTGAATAAATGCAAAAAAGACTAATAGGCCATTTGCCTAACAATAAATATTCAATAACGTGTGTCCACCAAAGAGGTTTTAGCCAGCTGAAAAAATGTCAGGTGCTCTTCTTAAAACGACCAGCTGGTGGCGCTTGAAAACTTTTTGGTGGCACAGCATTTTCCAGCTGAGATGCTTTGGTTGCTTTGATTTGGAACATCCATGGCGGCAACGTATTACAAGTATCTTAGTAATTTTGACTTCTCCATTGTTGTAGGCAGTCGTTGTACAAGTAGGATGGTTTGTTGCTATTTGTCCCACTCGTCCTCTATTTACAGTGGACAGTGACGAGCGCTGGGTTTTACAGTTATCAGCTACAAAAAAAGAGGGCAAGGGCAAATGAACTTTGAATTTTCATGCACTGCCATAATAATTACGTGTCATCAGTTTGCCAAAAAAAGAGCACAGAACGTTTTATGCACCATTTACGCGTGGTAGGGAGCAGGTGTACATTTCTTTCATACCAGCTAACATTTTGAAAATACGAACATTTTCATGAATTCGAAAGTTTGTCAGAACGACCTTACGAACGATTTACACAAAAATTTGTTCTGCTCATGTTTCATGAATGAGGCCCATTGTGTGTAATTATGTGAGTATCATTAAAAAAAGGACGTAAGTTATAAAATTTTTACATTTCTCATTTAAAAATCTAGTGTTTATTCATATCTAAATATTTATTCAAATGAAGAACTTAAAAATAAGTAAGCAGGTATGACCTGCAATATTCTAGATATATTTAGTAAAGAGCCATACAGAAAAATTTTTAAAAAAAATTTAAGAAAGAAAGAATAATAAAATATTGGTATTTTCCTCATCTGAAAGAAAGGAGGAAAAAAAAAAAACAAATAATAATAATAATTAGGGATGCTGTATCGGTATCGGGCCCGATACTGGTCTCCTGTACTCGTACTCGTTAAAATGCCCCGATACCAAACGCCGATACCACACAGCATGTGTTAAGCGCCATATTCAAACAAAGAAACACTGACAACAGAACAACAGACAGCAGAAAGGAGTTACGTATGTCTACTACGAAGTATATGTATGCAATGAATATAACGTTAAACATAACTCATTAATAAATGGTTCACAGGTGTTCACTTTACATTAATGTTCACTTTCACAAGTTATTAACGTTTATAACTCATTAAGCCAGCAGCTATCACTCTGCAGCTCTCGCCTGGTCACCCACTGAGGCTAAGCAGGGTTTTGCCTGGTCAGTACCTGGATGGGACATCTCCTGGGAAAACTAGGTTTCTGCTGGAAGAGGTGTTAGTGAGGCCAGCAGGGGGTGCTCACCCTGTGGTCTTTGTGGGTCCTAGCGCCCCAGTATAATGATGGGGACACTATTCTGTCAAAAAGCACTTTCATTTGGATGAGACGTTAAACGGCTGTGACCTCAGCATCCTGGCCAAATTTTCCCATTGGCCTCTGACAATCATGGCCTCCTAATCACCCCATATCTACTGATTGGTTCCATCACTCTGTATGCTCTCCACCAATAATGTAAAGTGTTACCACTACGATCCCTATACTTCACATTGCACATTCTGCAATGTTACTATTGTGGATGCGCTCATTGTGATATCGATGCTAAAATTATATATTGTGCAGTCCTAATTGTGATGTAGTGATGATAATGATTGTGATCCAGTGATGATGATTGTGATGCAACGATGTGTGTTTCTTTCAGATGGTGGGTTTTGGGCTAGTCTGTCTGGGAACATGGTTTCGGGTCATCACTACATTCATAGGATTGTACCAAATGAATGAACAGAAAACAACACCGTTCACTATTGGTTTGTCCTTCTGTTGTTTCTCATTTTATATCTGTTGAATTAAATTATATTTACACTCACTTTTTCAGTCTGTAAGCTTATCCTTGACTTTATGTGTTCTATCTGTCAGGTGTGACGGCGTTGGTCACCACCGGTTTTCTGATAATGATGGTCGCTGTTCTCGGCAATCATGGCGCATGTAGCCGCAATAAATCTGTTCTTAATGTGGTGAGGAAAATACTCATTACAGATGCATCATACTTATTCATACAGCAAATATAACACAAGATGATCTCTAAAGAATTGCATGTGTTGACATTGAAACAAAGCTGTAAAGTCTGTGTTATACTTTACGCATCCAAACTGCGCACGCAGACACGGACAGCACGGATGCGGACTACTTGTATTTATAGTACTGAAAGTGTATGCTGGTGGTCCGCTCGGTGGACGTGTTCCACACATGCGCAGTAGATCAGTTTGAACAGTAAACAAACATGTAAACAGTAAACAAGCAATTGCCAAAACTCTGGGCAATTTCCCTCCATGACTTAT